GAGGAGTAAGTCGCTGGGAGTTCAAATTGAAGGAAACAAAAGAGAGAGAGAAAAAAAAAAAAGAGAAAAAAAGAGGCACTCACCTTGTGGACTTCATCCTCTGTCATGCAGCCTTCAACGTCAGTCTTATTTAGAAATATCAAAAGACTTGCCCCAGTCAGTCGCTGAACAGTATGTTAGTCAAAAGGTCCGACAAAACTTGAAAGGCGGAGCTGGCAGCGTACCTCTTCGAGAAGAAGGCCTGCAAGTTCATCCCGGCAATCATCGATTCTCAGACGATCTGTTGCATCAACAACCCAAACTAAAGTATCGGTCTTCTCGAAGTAATTTTTCCAGTATGAGCGCAATGTCTTCTGCCCTCCTACATCCCCTAATCCTCACAAGTTGGTGGATTAGAATCGCGGTAACGGGATGGCGCTGCTTACAAATATTGAGTTTGTATCTGCATAGAAGCTATTAGCAATTTACGAGACTCTAGCTTAGAGTATGAGGCCAAATACCCTTGAAAATCAATAGTTTTGATGATAAACCCCAACGTTGGGCTAACAGTGGTGACATCCTCCTTCATAATCTGCTTGACTATCGTGGTCTTTCCGGCATTATCAAGACCGCTGTGGTTCGGGCTCAGTATCTTGACCAACAAATACTACCTCTTCAACATACAGCATTAATATTCTCATCTCTTTATCTTTTAGTCGGGCTTTTCTCAGAATAGACAGCATTTTGGCGTTGGCGTGCTGATTGTCTTAAAGGGTAAATAGAGGTGTGGTTGGGTTCAAAGTCATAGCTGGGGTTTCCGTTACGAGACGCGGAGATCAAATTCCAAACCACCCAAGACCAGAGCAGAACCCTAACAAGACAACTCATGTTTTCATAAAATTTTAGGTTCTGGCTTTCAGAGATGTTTTTTACTCCTACCTTAATATTCTGTAATTTATTTCCAAGAGTAACTCCAATAAAAGTGGGATTTTAACAACAAGGATAGCACCCAGTAGGAGACTCCAGGCTGTATTGAGGGGGCCTCCTTTTGAGGTGTCTCCTTCACAACAGGCTCTCTCATCAAGTACAGCATTCAAGCTCCTTTCTAACTGAGCACCTGACCTTGGGTGAATTTCTTTGAACTTTCCCCTTGACTACAATCAGTTGCTATTGATCCATTGCAACAAAGCTTTTACTGTATTCATCATTTGCTATCCATCAATCATATGACTAGTATGACTTACCATTTCTGCCATAAAGCTTACATACATTTGTGACAAAGGTAACAAGCCCTTGTTCTTCAATAGTGCATTACTCTGCTGAAGCTAAATTACAAAAAGCTTTTGATGAATTACAATACTGATTTTCATCTCACAGAGTCTTATGACCCTAATCGATAATCTAGCATAGAAACCATGGATCAGAAGTGTAGTCACACCAGTTATCCTACCCCCAAATGCGAAACATCCACAAAGCATCCGGATCCCCAACAGTCCCAACATTCAGACAGCCACAAATCTACTTTATGCACTAAGCTCACTGGTGCACCTGAAGGCAGCTGTCAACCTAAGAAAACGTCTACCCCAGCAAAAGCCCCAGAACATTCGCTACCTGTTTCAAGACATATTTCTTACAAGCGACAACACAAGAATGCTTGGTCTCATTCATCATCTACAAAGTTGAAAGATCACACTGCAGCCTCATATGGGATTGCGAGTGATCCAACTGATAGACATCATACTCCACAAGAAAATGGAAATAACCAGAGTGTGATACCGAAGTCTCATATTAAAGACCAGGCAAAGACTTGGAGACCTTCACCTGTTCCTCATATTGCACCACATACCAGAGAGAGGCGATCATTACCACACAGTGAGCTTTCAAAAAAGCTCACCAATTCATCTCATAGTAGAACTGAACCCTTGCAAGCCTCTATCAATCATCCTTCCCCAGAATCTCTCCAGTCCAGGTCCAAGTCAACGAGATCTACAGTGAATCAAAAGGCCAACGGTATTCCACCCAAGACCCCGTGCCCGAGCAGAATATTAAGCGCGAATGCAGCTGGTAAGAGATCCAGGAACAATAGTCAATTATGGTTTTTAGGCTAATGTTCAATCAGATAGGGAAGTAGCTACCGTTAAGATGACTACCAGTGAGGAGTCTGATGTGGTCCTTCTTCATCGTGGAAGCAAGGCGAGCAATACTGATGCCGAAATCACTCCAGCATTTCAAAATTATAATATCCACGAGACTAGCCAGTACAATTCGAGCCACTCGCAGAGCAGACACGCAGCTAGTAAGGTAACAAGTAACGTTCAACAGAATATTAGACAGAAAGCGATCAGAGAGAGTAAGGAAAACTTTCCCACCGACAACAAGCCTGTCCAAGAAGCAAGTCCAACTAGCTCGAAAGAAGAAGCGTTGGAGGAGCTTAACCGCCTCCGGGCACAGATAGTTCGACAGGCACATCTAGACCGTTTCAAGGACCTTGACTACCCTACAGCCAACCCTGAAATTCTCGAAAGATGCAGGTCTGGTCCTGGAACCGATCCAAATTCGGAGTTTTACCTATCGATCAGGGAATGCCGTGTTGCTCCGATACAATCGGCAAGCGTTCCCGGTGCAATGGCCTTAATGTCTGATGGTGGTCACAAATCTGTTAAACCCAGCGTATCTGGGGCTCATAAAGTAGCTGCTCAGTGGGAATGCTATGAAAGCAGTCCTACTGTCTACCCCATTGTTAAAGATAGGGAGCTGAACCTGTCATCTGAGCCCACCGATGAACACAAACGTATACTAACACAGCTTGCACAAACTGCTGGGCTCCAGGGTGGCACTGGCGGCCAGAATACAGAGTCAGGGCAAGAGCGGAAACATAGCTGGACAGATATTTATTATGCTAATTGGGAGTATTATCCCCATGCCTGCTCCTCCAGCTACGAGGCTTTTCGCGATTGGTTCCGTCGTTGGCTCGACGGCACCATTCAAATTTGCTGCTATGCTGATATCTACCATTACGCTTTCTTTGATGGGACCGCGCATCCAGATGGCATACGCACCATGTATATTCCAGACTTAGAGGAACAAACGACTCTCCTGGACATGGACGATAAAGAGTCGCAGCTCCATTGCCATGAAACTGTCCAAGGTTATTGCCACAACTGGGAGCTTCACAATAAAAAGGAGCGTAATGAAGAACAACTTCGAAGGAAAATTACACGCGAGCATTATCTTGAAGGCTTGAGGACTTTTTCACGGCCCAGCGCCAGCGTGCTTAAAGAGAACGTCTACCTACGTCCTGTTGAAATGGGTGATGTCCCAGGGCTCCTTGAAATCTTCAACTGGTATGCACGCAATTCTCCTTTGAGTACTTATATCGAACCACTCGAAGCTGGTGATATTCGCCAGTGTATTGATGACTGTACCGAGGAAAAACTGCCGTTTATTGTTGCCGCGGAGCGCAGAATCAGGGCAACGGCGAATAAGGGTCCTCAAAAGACTCTGGGCTATGCACTTGCGACTGACTACCTGGGACGCAGAACCAGTGGTCGTTTTACAGCAGAGCTGGAGCTATTTGTTAAGCCTGGGCACACACACAAGGGTATTGGAAAGTGCCTAATGGATAAGCTTCTCGAAGTGTGCGACCCTACCTACATTCCGAAGCATGGCTATTTTTTTGACTGCAATACCGAAGACCGCACCGGCTACTGGGCAGGAGGTCAACGCAGACTTGGCCGCCTTCTTTTTGCCATCAGCTACCCCTATGGCAAAAGATCCACTTACAGCTGGGTTGAAGAATGGCTCAAAAGACAGTACGACTTTGAAGAGCAGGGTCGACTCAAGGGTGCAAGAGTCAAATTTAGCCATTTGTAACTCCCCCTCCCGGATCAAGGAAGCATTGCTGTAAAGCTTACCCACTGATTACCACCAGTCTCAACGTCACTTACCTTGTTCGAAATGTCGGTTACCACGCGGGCGATAGGTTCGATACCTGAATTGAACCGGAATATCCACTTCGATCGGAAAATGCTAGACAATCCGAATGGTTTGGCTGATCCCACCAAAAAGCAAAGAAACATAAGAAATTGAAAAAAAAATTAAAATAAAAATAAAAAAAGCGTACGATCATGTTTCACAGAATGCTACTAATGTCGTTGGGCTTGGCAGATATGGTTTTCAACTCCTAAATTGGTTGCAATATGGGTCAGATGGCTCTTATGTCTTCTCGTTATATTTTCAGATTGTGTTGATCTTTAAGAAATTTTCGATGGCAAAAAGTCTGTATGGCCAAAACACCCTAAAAAGTATAAAATGAAAAAGAAAAGAGTAGAGGGATACAGCGTGCTTTTACTCAAGGAACATGAAAGATAGCAAGTATAGAACGTTAGCAAATCAACCTCCAAAAGTACGGAATACTGGCAATGCGTCAGGTCCATACTTTCCGCTAGTCCAATCACAGCTTAGCTCAAGCAGAGAATCAGAGCCACCAATCAATTCATCCCCAAAGCCAGTCCGCAGTCTTTTCTGCCGTATAGTAACCTTTCACCGCCTCCGCAGTTTTGAACTTTTTTTCTTTTCCCCGAAAATATATGAACTAGTGAGTACAGCTTAAGGGTCTGGGAGGACATTAGGACTTTCTAATCAAAAGTTATTCTTATCATTCATGTTCGCTCTGCTCTTCTTGAAAAACGACCGCATAATTTACTTGCTTGCCGGGTTTTACCCCTTATAAGCCGAAAAAAATGGCACCGCCAAAAAAAACCAGTGCTCCCAAAGACGACGATTTTGTGCTCACACTCTCCGATGATGAAAACGATGCATTCAACGACATCAATGAAGATGGAGACGACCATGTAGACGAAGAAAGGGCGAAGTCAACCACCAAGAAGCGCAAGAGGGACACGATGGAGCCAACACAAAGCAAGAACAAGAAACAGAAGCAACAGAAGCAATTGAAAAACGGGAAACAACAGAAGAAAGGTGAAGAGGCTACATCTGAACCGGAGGAAGACCCAGAGGGGGGGGAGGATGCTGGGGAGGATGACGGGGCGTTGAATTCGGACTTTGAGTTTGATGCCGGGACTGCGGCTCAGAAGGACGTGGTGGAAGGGTTCGATGGATGGGGACTAGGTGATACAAAGGACGATGCAAAGAAGAATGGAGACAAACAGGGAGTGGATATTGACGAGATCATATCGAGGAGGCAAGCGAAGAAAGAGGCTCAGTCGAAAAAGAAGCAGAAGAAACAGGAGGTTGAGAGCGAAGAGGAGGACCATGAAAATGAGGATGATGCCTCGGATGGAGGCATGTCTGTGGATTTCCAGGACGATGAATTGATGGCTGAAGATGGGTTCGGCATGGGTGCTGACAGCGAGGATGAGAGCGGGCAGTCTGATGCTCAAGAGTCGGGCAGCGAGGATGAGCATGCAGGCAGCGAAGATGAGAATAGCGATGATGACGACGATGCCGCCTCTGACAACGACTCTGTCGCAACTCCCGTCCAGCATCCCGATGATGTTGCTTCAGACAACGATGGCTCGGATGCCGAGAGTGAAGTCGATGCGGAAGAAGAAGCAAAGCGCAAGGCCTTCTTCGCACCTGAGGAGCAGACCAGTGAACAATCTGCAGCTGAGCTGTCTAAGAGGTCATTTCAGGAATTTAACCTATCCCGACCTATTCTGCGTGGATTGGCTGCGGTCAACTTCACAAACCCAACTCCTATCCAGCGCAAGACAATCCCCGTGGCACTTCTCGGCAAGGATATTGTTGGTAGTGCAGTGACTGGTTCAGGAAAGACGGCTGCCTTCGTTGTTCCCATCCTTGAGCGTCTTCTGTTCCGCCCTCGAAAGGTCCCTACTAGCCGTGTCGCGATCCTGATGCCCACTCGTGAACTGGCTGTACAGTGCTACAATGTGGCTACTAAACTTGCTACTTATACTGATATCACGTTCTGTCAACTTGTTGGTGGTTTCAGTCTCCGTGAGCAAGAGAATATCCTGAAGAAGCGCCCTGATGTGATCATTGCCACACCTGGTCGTTTCATTGACCACATGCGTAACTCTGCGAGCTTTACTGTTGATACCCTTGAGATTTTGGTCTTGGATGAAGCCGATCGGATGCTGGAGGATGGTTTCGCAGATGAGCTGAACGAAATTCTGACTACCATTCCAAAGTCGCGGCAGACGATGCTCTTTTCGGCAACCATGACCGATTCAGTGGACAAGCTCATTCGAGTGGGACTTAACCGGCCTGTAAGACTTATGGTAGACTCTAAGAAGAACACATCCATGAACCTAGTTCAGGAATTTGTGCGTTTACGACCTGGAAGGGAGGATAAGCGATTGGGATACCTTCTTCACCTATGCAAAGAAGTTTACACGGGACGAGTCATTGTGTTCTTCCGGCAGAAGAAAGAAGCACATCGTGTACGGATTGTCTTTGGGCTCCTTGGGTTGAAGGCCGCTGAGCTTCACGGTAGCATGAGTCAAGAACAGGTATGTCATGCCTACCGCAATTGACCACACTATGCAAAAGACTAACATGAATAACAGCGTATAAGAAGCGTTGAGAATTTCCGTGAGGGCAAGGTCTCTTTCCTACTGGCTACCGATCTGGCGGCTCGTGGTTTAGATATTAAAGGTGTGGAAACAGTCATTAACTACGAAGCTCCTCAAAGCCATGAGATCTACCTGCATCGAGTCGGTCGTACTGCTCGTGCTGGTCGCTCTGGTCGAGCCTGCACGATCGCTGCCGAGCCAGATCGCAAGGTGGTGAAGGCAGCTGTCAAGGCTAGCAAGGCGCAGGGAGCGAAGGTCGCGAGCCGAGTTGTCGACCCAGCCGTCGCCGACGGATGGGCTAAGACGGCCAAGGATCTTGAGGGTGAAATTGACGCAGTGCTCGAAGAGGAGAAGATAGAAAAGCAGCTAGCACAAGCGGAGATGCAGGTGACGAAGAGTGAGAATATGATTAAGCACGAAGCGGAAATTATGTCGCGACCAAAGCGCACATGGTTTGCAAGTGAACGTGAAAAGATTCTCTCTAAGAAGGCCGGGGCCGCAGAACTCAATGGATTGGATTCTGTGAAGTCGAAGAAGGACAAGGTGAAACTAAGCAATAAGGACAAGAAACGACTCGACGACGCCCGCCAGCGTAACGAAGGAAATATTGGATGGAAGAAGGGCAAGGTGGACCGAGAATCTCAGAAGCAAGGGAAGATTCAGAAGAGCAAGAAGGATAATAAAAAGAAGGGCAAGAAATGAGGGAAATGAAGAGTCGAACATTGATAGTTACCAGCCTACCTCTGCTTTAGAACTCTTAACTTGCCTGTATATATGTATGCATTCATTACCTCATACTTCTGGATATCGTTTTAAAATTAGGGTTATTTTCATTTGCTAACTCGCGACAATGAAAAACCATAAGCTTAACCTAATATCCGTTATCTTTGGACCTCGCCATGGGATTGTCGTCATGTCAACTTTGGGGATCGACAAACTGCCCGGAAACTGTCGGTTTGCCGCGGACGAAAGTGGTCTGTTAATAAGGCCTGAGGCAGTAAAGGCCTCCGGTCATCGGCCGACTGGGGACGATGAAACATGTCGGACTCAAATAGTTCGATGTTAAACTCCATCTAGAACGCAGATTGCACAAATAGTATGAGAGAACGAACAATACTATTGCTAATAGCGACTCGGTGATTGACCCGGCCCAAAGTGAGGCCCAGTTTGTTCCATGTGGTTCAGGGTACCTCTCTCGTACATCGTTAGACCACTAGAACTAGACTGTTGGCACCAACAAGGCGTAGTGGTTCAAAAGTCTTGAAGAGGAAAAGGTACTGTGTTAGTCACCCCGTCCCCATTGCCCCATTTGTGGTCTGGTACCAAATCATACGCCGCTTTTGCCATCCGCTGTCGGCGAGAGAAAAATTGAAGCGGAGAGTCACTGCAATTGATTGGGTTGACTCATTGCGTATCTTAAATACCCTCAATTGCTTCGTTTGCTTTCGTTCAAACTTTTCCAGCTTATCTTTCATTTTCTTCTTGATCGTTGACCTCTCCCCATTCTGAGTGTTTCTATTCCTCGACCTTTGTCTCTCCCTCTCTCTTTTCTCTCCATTCCCCCACTGCGGATCTCACCCGCTAACCGCTACCATGCCGATGTAAGTCCACTGCCCCTCCCCCTCCATAGCTCCGTTATCGTGGAGCTTCCCGTCCACAGCACTCAACGTCACGCCCTGCCGATTATTTGCAACTCAATGCACTAACAGTAATAATAACAGGCTCAAAGATCCCTCGAAAAAGTACAAACGGTTTAAGCCGCTGCATCTCCCTGATCGCCAATGGCCTAACAAGGTCATCGAAAAGGCCCCCCGGTGGCTGGCCACCGATCTAAGAGATGGCAACCAGAGCTTGCCTGATCCAATGGTATGACAGCTTGTGGGAGAGAAATCGTGGCTGACGCATTGCACGAAACTGGTCATTCTAACATATTGGGGTTTCACAGGACGGTGAACAAAAATTCCGCTTCTTTAAAATGCTCGTCGATATCGGCTACAAAGAGATCGAAGTGTCATTCCCATCTGCCTCCCAAACAGACTTCGACTTCACCCGGCGTCTGGTGGAGACTCCTGGTGTCGTTCCGGATGATGTATGGCTCCAGGTCCTGTCCCCTTGTCGCGAGGACCTCATCCGCCGCACGGTGGATTCTCTGAAAGGTGCAAAGAAGGCTATCCTGCACATCTACCTAGCCACAAGCCCGTGCTTCCGTCGAATTGTCTTCAACATGGACAAGCAGAAGAGTTTGGAAATGGCTGTTCGTTGCACCAAGTTCGCGCGTTCGATCACTAAGGACGACCCCTCGACCGCCGGTACCGAGTGGCACTTCGAGTTCTCCCCCGAAACCTTCTCTGACACGGAGCCTGAGTTCGCTGCTCAGGTCTGCGAGGCCGTCAAGGAGGCTTGGGGTCCTACTGAGGAGGCTCCCATTATCTTTAACCTGCCCGCGACAGTAGAAATGTCGACCCCCAACGTTTTCGCGGACCAGATTGAGTACTTCTGCCGTCATGTGTCGGAGCGAGAGAAGTATGTCGTCTCCATTCACCCACATAACGACCGTGGCTGTGCCATTGCGGCCGCTGAGCTGGCTCAGATGGCCGGCGCGCAGCGTGTGGAAGGCACTCTGTTTGGAAACGGTGAAAGAACGGGTAACGTTGACCTGGTCACTCTGGCTCTCAACCTCTACACACAGGGTATCACCCCCAATGTTGACTTCTCCGATATCAACGCTGTCATCAAGGTTGTTGAAGAAAGCAATAAGATCCCTGTCAATGAACGGTGGCCCTACGGCGGTCAGCTGGTCGTTTGCGCTTTCAGTGGCAGTCACCAAGATGCTATCAAGAAAGGTTTCAAGCTTCGTGATGATGCTACAGCAGCGTCAGATGAGGAAGTTCAATGGGAAGTTCCTTACCTCCCCTTGGATCCTCAAGATATCGGCAGAACTTACGAAGCTGTTATTCGTGTCAACTCCCAGAGTGGCAAAGGTGGTGCTGCTTGGGTCATCTTGCGCAGCTTGGAGCTGGATCTCCCGCGCGCCTTGCAGGTCGAGTTCAGCAAGATCGTGCAAAAGAAGTCGGAGGAGGTCAGCCGGGAGCTGCGGGCAAGCGAGATTGTCGGTCTTTTCGAAGAGGCATACCACCTCAAGTCCAACCCCCGCTTCAACCTAGTCGATTACAACATCACCACGGACCGCTCGACATCCCCAGCACCCCCCGAGCCTGGCAAGGCGCTGAACACCAAGAACCTCAAGCGGCGCTTCACTGGTGTCATCGAGATCGATGGTGTTCAGCACGCTATTACTGGTGTTGGTCCCGGTGCTATCTCCTCTTTGGCTGGCGCCTTGTCTACCCTCGGCATCGATCTCGACGTTGTCGACTACAAAGAACACTCTATTGGTTTGGGTAGGGAGGTGAAGGCCGCAACGTACATCCAGTGCACTGCGGCCGGTAGCAAGGAGCAGGTCTGGGGCGTTGGTATCCACCAGGACGTTGTCCAGGCCAGTTTGATCGCATTGCTCAGTGCTGCTAGTTCGGTAAGCTCCTAAATCTCATTATTAGACTGCAATAATCATTATATATCGTACTAACTTCGGCCGTGCAGTTCCTGACTAGCCGTGCTGGCTCTCCTGCTCCCTTCCGGCCCATCCGCTCCAACACCCTCACTGACGAGGACTTGCAAGCCCTAGAGACCCTCACTGGCTCCAGTGATCTTGCCACCAACCTGGCTAAGGCTGCCAACGGCAGTGCCAAGCTCCAGGTCGATATTGATGCCCTGACGAGACAAGCTGAGAGCCAGTAAATCTTAAGCTTTCTTTCTTACTACCGTTTCCGAAGTTTTCTCTTTATCTTTTCCTAATTCATGGTTGGGGAGGCAGGTCCGATTTTATTTTTTTTTAAGGCTGCAGTAGCAGAAAAGCAAGGTCTTAAAAAAGCATATTTGTATGTACAGAATGACATGGTACGAAAGATAATATAATTGAGATGTCAAAAATTTCTCACTCGGTTGAGGTTTCATTAATTTACAAACTATGATCTTGAATCTTTATATATATTTACATATATAGAACGCCCCAGGGTGCACTTACAATCTGCACATATACTCTACGAAACGAGCACAAACCGTGTACCATTTATGGTCTATAACCCTACGTCTGAAACAACCACGAGAGACGACACAAAAGGGTAACGGCCGATGTCACCACAAACAAGAACACGCTTGAGATTGGGGAGATCACTTTAGATCGGGGATCGCTCCTGTGGGTCCGGGAACCGCCGCTCTACCACTTACGGTTAAAGCTAACTTTAATCCAGAAAATTTGCACACGACAATTTCGAAATTTCTTATATTTTCAATTAAGTAGATGACGAACATCCACTTGGGGATGTGGTTTAGTGGTATAACGTTCGCTTAGCATGTGAAAGGTCCGGGGTTCAATTCCCCGCATCTCCATCGTTTTTTGATATTTTTTTGCCTTTCAAAAGCATACCTGCTGCTCTCCGAAGAAAGATAGATAGATGTGTGGCGTGGCAAAGACTGCCGGACGGTGTGTAATCAGCGTGTTCCTGAATGCGTGTCGCATTTACACATGCGGAGAATCTGTTTTCGTAACATCCAAGCTCTATGAGGTTAGGTAGTATTCGAAGGTAACAATGCGCCGACCCAAGATTGGTGGTATTGTCTATGCATGATCCTGCACCGGGCGTCATTGCGCTCAGCATTGACATTGTTTTCTTCAGCAGAAGCGTCACTTCATCTTGATTTTTGACAAAGGTCGTTGGTGGCTCTGGCATCTCGCTGTAACAGGCGTACGCATAAATATACCTAGCTTCATTTACTTTGTCAACAGGTTATTCGCCTCTTGTCACCCGAGGAGGATGAATGTGAGGCAACTGACCACTTGCCGTACTCAATCCTATCGAAGCAAGGACCTCAACTACCAGGAACAGGATGTCCCATATATCAATATGGTACCAGAGCCTTTCAATTCAGAAGAACACGCATACCCCAAAGATATTTCCTTGCTGTCAGAATAGGAAACTATATAGTCGAATCATCTGCGTTTCGCATCCTCGACTATGCCAACAATGACCATGTCATCTTGGAAAGGTACGACCAGATCGTATTTCCTTACGGGTCAGCATCCTTCATATGGTCGCACGTTGTACATCGTTCGGGTGGTAGGTCAGTCAGTTTAAATGCCTCGAGGGTATTGCGACGCATTCCAGTGCTACGAGAAAGGGGATACAGGCGGTGTCCCCGGGGAAGAGTCATATCACAGCCATAACCAGTGACTCGGGGATGATGGTGATGGATTGAGGTCTTTAAGCCTGACGGGAGTGTTGAAACGACAAGTGGGAGGGCGGAGGGAGAGAAGAGAGGAGGAAGAAAGAGGAGGGGGGGGGGGTTTATATTCGCTGGAGCAGGCGGTCTGCATAACATCGCACACGGTGTCATGTGGCAGCGTCTTAATGAGTCCCACAGCATGGCCGAACCAAGGAAGAGCAAGACGACTTTGCAGTAGTGAGTGTCCTGGCTCAATTAATGCTGCTTGACAAGGTAGTGACCTCAACCAATCGTGTTTTGGACTTATTACGACATACATATGTGTTTCTGATTCGAGCGATCTAATAAGATGACGGGATTGTACGGTTAGCTTTGGAATGATCAATACTATGGAGTAGTAGGGATGGTTGAATCATTCTCGAACACTAGTATGGTGGACGTACCGTCCTTCATGCAGATGTTGCTCGGAAGGTATGGCTTTGCTTCATTCCAACACAAGCAAGACGTCCTCTTTCCAGGAGTTCGAAGACAGGCAGATGAAAGGTATCTCCTCTCAAGCATGTGTGGGCCTCCTTGACTGGCACCTTCACCACATGGGTATTCTTCTCGCTCTGCATAATTCTGTCATCGACACAGAAACAAGATGTAGAAAAAACACCCGTTAAAGAGAAAGATCCTCCGCTCTAAAGTTCGGAAAGGAACTGCAGAACAAGCCCCGGCCTCGTATTTCTCTTTTCATTTATAGCACTCATTTTAACTCTACTAATTCACTAGGGGGAACGATCCCTACGTAGCTGAGATCAATTAAACGAACCTCGGCACGATAATTTTTTACTACTTTATGCAGGGCAAGCGGGGTAAAAAAAGCCCCCCTCATCGTACAATCCATATGCCACTCTCAAGATATTGATTTCCAAAATAATACATTAAATCTAATTTCTAAACCCAAATTGACTTTCATTTTTTTCGCCCTTACTGCAAACTATATCTATAAATCACCGACAAACATGCCCTACTCGCTAAAGGGAAGAAACGTGCTGGTGACAGCCGGCTCCAGGTGAGAAAGCTCCTTGTCCACCGCCGGGGCCTCCCTTTTACTAATCGTAGCTGCAATGGCTTCTAGAGGCCTAGGCGCCTTGGTATGCGAGAAGTTTGCAGCAGAAGGTGCCAACGTGCTCATCAACTACCACTCCAATGCCGAGGCTGCGCAGCAACTGGCCGACAAACTTGAGAAGGAGTACTCGGTGAAGTGCCACATCGCCCAAGCTGTATGAATTTCTTCCACAGAGATTAGTTCGATTCCATGGCTCTGTATATTCATATGCTGAATCGTCTATTCCCATCAAGGACACGCTTGTGGCCGCCGAGAACGACCAGCTTGTTCACACAACAGTGGAAAAGCTAGGTGGTTTAGATATCATCATTGCTAATGCTGGATGGACACGCTTTACTCGCCCCGGAGACATTTACGACATGTCCCACGATGAGTGGAACAAGGTAATGCTCCCATGATACAAGAAGATCTCTAGAAAATTATACTTACCCGCAACGTCCAGTGCTGGGCAGCCAACGTAATGTCCCACCTGCAGCTTATGCAAACTGCGCAGCCTATCATGTCGAAGAACCCCGACGGCGGCGTCTACATCGCTACTTCTTCTATTGCTGTATGCTCAGAACCCACTTCAACTGATCTTCCTGGCTATAAGACTGACTCTAAGTAGGGAATTACGACGGGCGGCAGTAGTATGGCATACTCAGTCACCAAAGCAGCCGGCCTGCACCTGATGAAGCATTTTGCCTTCACATTTGGACCAGAGATCCGCGTTAATGCAGTCTTGCCGGGTCTACTTCTGACGGAATGGGTAGGTACACTGATTAACGCTGTCAAATGTCCTTAGCATGGGCGTTATACTGAATAAAAGTCTAGGGTATGAAGTTTGGCGACAACATAATCAATGCGTTGAAGGAGCGGTCTACCTTGAGACACGAGGTATGGATTTGAATCGGCTACAGGCCCAAACCGAGATATCGCTAATATAGGAACCACCAACTAGACGTACTTAGACGACTGTGCGGACGCGTATATCAGTCTTGCGAAAAATACGTCCGCGACGGGTCAGCAGCTCACTGTTGGTATGTTGTACAGTTCCATGTACATGTTTCGAGATACTAATTGAATTTCTTTTTGATAGATGCGGGTTTGGCTCTTGGGCATCTCCCATCGGCTAAGGTTTGAAGTTTGTGCGGTAGACTTCATCCTGGTTCTAGATTAGCCGGATATCAATATGCCCTGGGTTGTGATGCATCGTTCCCTTGTCTGTTTGTTCTGTTATCTGGAAAACACTCAAGCAAGGTCCATGGATATGAGAGCATAGCAATAATATTAGCAATTATAGTTTATCTTAAACAACCACCAGGAATACTACTCCCTGGAGCGCCCTTCAAATAAATCTTGTTTCCCATACTGCCACAGATCAGTTAAATCGAAATCCAACGACCACGGTATGAAAGGAACAGAGCCTGGCAACGGCTCAGCAAAGGATGCCATGTTATAATTCTCATTGAAAGGATTCTGCCCGAGAGGTATCTCATCCGTTGGAAGATTATCGAGGCCGTCATACAAGGATTCCCACGCGTTATCTCTAGAAGCTAATTCGTGCGGTAACTCCGTTTCGGTTAAACTGGTAGCTTCCGTAGAATTGGGGCTCGCAGTATGCCTTGCGTTTGTCCACTAGAATCCAGTGAGCATGTTCCATTTCATGTGGTACAAGCAAAGGAAGTTTATACGTACGTATGTATCAGCTGTGGAGATGAGTCCCTTGTTGCGCGGCTGGCCATGGTTAATTGTTGCAGGGCGGTGCGGAAGATGCATGATCGCCTCATCAGAGTCTCGACGTGGCCGTTTCGATACGTTTTTCAATTCGACTTGCACCTTTTCCACATATTCCACTGCCATTGACCTCATCTTGCTAAATATTTCAGAGACTAGATTGGGTAGAAACGTCCCACTGGCTTGAAGACTGGGGAATAGGGAATCGAGAATGACTCCCAGAAGCTGGACGTCTTCAGTAATATAAGAATCGCTAGGGTTCTGAATAATATTGGCGAAAAGAATAATGAATGCCGAAAGTGAATGAAAGAGTGTGAGACTAGGACTAGTCAGGCACGTTGATTTCTAGTACACACCTTGGTGGGGGAGTTCCTTACCCAACTAGCATGGTCCTTTTAGGAAAGCCACATTTGTCTATTGCAATCAAGAGACGCGCGACATTTCGAGCTGAGTCCAAACATATCATATGCCCAGTATAGACACGATCTCCGATGTCAGCACAATCTTGGCGAGCCATATCATTGCGCAACTCGTCATATTCCGTCAGCTGATCTTGAAAGGCCCAACAGCGATGTAGGGTTGCTAGACAGTTAAAGTATTCGAGATGCAATGTAATCACATGACGGACGTTTTCCTTGGAGCAAGCGATGGGCTTTCCTGGTTGGACGTCTACCGGTAGAGATCGGCACCACTCTTGAAGTTTCGCATCCACATCAGATATAGTTCGAAACCTTTTCAGGGCAGGGTATCTCCTTGAGCGAGCGCTATACAATTCCGAATAAACCTCGCTGGCGATTCTGCTAAGCCTCATGTGTGCCAAGAGCAAGACAGCAGTTCTCGGATTTGTAACGGCCAACTGCCGCTCGTCCGGGATATCGATTTCTATATCCCTATCATCAATAGCTGGAGGCCTTCCTAACCTAAGACTGAGGCTTTTATCAAGAGAGTACATGCACCAGAAGATAATGTATCGCTCAGAGACCTCCGGCGGTGAAAGGCGAGGGCCCTTCAATTGTTGCTGCAAGCCGAGTGAAGTCGCAACCCGTACTGCGGCTCCTAAAGCAATGTATGTGGCTTCTTTGTCAAGTAGGATTTCTGAAGTAAGAGCCTGGAATTCATTGATCAGTCCTGAGCCGAAGTTGAGATCAACCGAATGGGACTTTACCATTGCCAACAACGCTTGAACAGCCATAAGATCCCTGCAGCTGAGAGACAATTCACCAAAAACATTCCAGCAATTTTGTAGGTAGCCTACTGCAGTAGTAGGTGCCAGCATTGAGTTTTCAGTGCTCACATTCATATTCTCCTCATGCGATAGCAGGCAGCCAAGCGCGAGTACTACATTGAGTGAGGCATACCAAGATGTGCTCTTTGGGGGACAGGAAGAATACTGCTGTTCGTACAGAGCTTCAAACTTATCCCTTCGATACAAAGGGATAACATCATTAAGTGTGTCAAAAAAATCTGAAAATCTATTAGAGAAAGTGTACTGATACGCGTGGAAATTATCTTACATGCGACAAACAAATCAGCAACATGTTTAGGTGGAAGTGACACTTGTCCACGACAGTCTAGACCATGCCATAGGCGGATTGATTCATAGAGAGGAGGGCATGCTTGTATTCGCCTCAGGATGAGATCCGAAAGGTCCGAGGAATTAGTCCTACTGGATATCCACTGTAATCCAGCAGGAGAGAAAAGAGAGAGACTCGAAGCTGAGCCTGAAGCGTGTAGGTCGTCAGCACAGTTTCTATATATCATCTGAAGTTCAATATATTACCAATAAACGTAGAGGAACCCTCGTCATGAAGTAATAGCATTGAAAGTTGGTCATCCAGATCAGTTGATGTACCAGTAGTGGCAGGAGTGATAGCCTCGCTTGCAAGGCCTGACGCGGCCAAGATCGACTCCATGCGCTCAATTCGGCTTTCCATATCTAGAATCTTCCCTCGCCTAAATGATAGGGGAAATAAGAGACGCGATTCAAATTGAGACGTCTTTACAAGCAATTCCAGAACGTGCTTACTTACCTGTCCGGTTTCGACGTCTTTCGGGGATGGAAAGTTGTGGCACAATCATCGCCTCGTTGTAGACACCGAGCACAGCTTTGCCCTTCCCTCTGGCATCTCACCTGTCGAAGAGCAAGTCAATCGTCGGATACCCGCGGAATGCCGAAGTATCATTACCTTTGCAGCCCTACACTTATCACACGATGTCCGCAACGCATGGCCGAAAGGCGGATGCGGATCCATATTGGACTGAATAGGTGTAATTTTTGTCGCTAGATAAAAAAGACCGGAGAGGTTAGTGAAGTAAGAGATAGAATCCTGCTATCGCTCACCTCGCCTAATATGCAAAAAAGTAAAATAATACTAGTTCTCGGCTTAAGAATCCGAGTGGGTCTACCTTAATCTCTAGACCCTGGAACCTTGAATACTCAGAATCCAAATCGCTTCTAAAATAGCAGTGTTGACAATTGTAGTCGATTTCTTGGTTAAGGTAGGTATCAATGGTGTAGATACTAGCCTAGCCCGTGACCGTTTTAGACTCTTAAGTGGCGCCATTAACCTCACGTGGAGATTCTAAGACTATAAAACCAGGGCTCCGTATAGAAAGATCTATACTGTGTATTAATTGGGACTTTGCATTTCTTCTGTGACTAAGCGGCTAAAGGCTGAATCCGGTACCGGTATCAAAGCTGATTATATTATCCTTTTCATTTCTTCCTACGGTGTACCCTCCCTTTTGAAAGCACCCACTTTGTAGTAAAAGTCTGCTGAAAATCACGCGTCTTGTTAGAACCACCCGACTTACGTGGTATATTTTCTTCAGGCGTCGAAGGTGGGAACGCAAAGCCCTATGGATCTTGGCAATTGAATTACCTCGGTCCCGTGTCATCCTTATGATTTAGGATCCACCACGAAGTTAAACGCTGACTTCTTCCTAGTAGTATACCTTAGTCCCAGTCCCTTTGAAAAAAATCCACCGCAGTAATAGTCTCCGAGCAGCTGGTGCTAGCTGATAAGCAGATCATATCATTGCCAGTCGATAGCTAAAAGAATCTAGCATATTCATTCATAGGCTATGTATGTACAGAACGTTGAACGTCGTTCATAGTGTAAAGCAGACAAATCATTTGATCGAAGACAACAGCGAAAAGATAAATGCGTACGGGGGAATGGGCTAAAGAGGCAATGGGTTTTGTAAAGTCATAAAAGCGATGAAATGTTTAGGGGATATAGATAACAAGAAAGAGAAGGGCGGGCTCCAAGTACTCTTTATGCTAGAAACGGGATACAAGACAGCCAACACTATATCAAAGCATCTGCATCTAATTACCCCATCTATATGTCATGACCATTGTTGCATGGTGAACTGATGAAGTTTGCGTGTTTTCAGATCCCGTAGTTATTTCCGTCATATCGCCGTCTTGTCATGTCATTGTTACTGCTGGGTGTACTATGAACTCCACCCTGACCATATGTATCATCAACTCCCAGCGTTGACTGGTACATAAGAGCTTCTTGTGGCCAGTCGCCAGCACCGACGTCCGGTGCGTCAGTCCGTCTGTCGTAGAAATCAGGTTGGCCAGTTGGGAAACCACTAGGAACACCAGCAAGCTGTTTATGGGTAAGAGAGTCGCCCCTAGGAGGATTACGGTAAGGTAAATTTTCAATCGCGGGGGTGCTTGCTTCCAATGGCGCTGTGCCCGCTGAGTTAGCAAAGTCACCGAAGTCAAATCCAAAGTCAGGGTTTCCAATCGTTGCGGGAACTTCAGCTTTTGCCGGAAGACCCCCGGTAGTTGAGGATGTTGTCGGTCGTGTCGGTTCCGCGATGTGTGGAATTGAGGGAATTGTTTCGGGAATGGTGATCGGGCTATCAATTGCCGGTCCTTCTCTTTCCTGCGTAGCATGATAGGAACCAGGTGCTTCAGGCTGCTCCATAAGCACCGGAGCTGGTGAGCGGGGTACAGCTGAGTCGCTATCCGGAATCACGGTAGATCGTCGAGTGCTGTTGCCCATCATGCTTCCGGGTTTTGAGCTTCGGCTGACGCGATGCTGCGGGGCCTCTGAGAACGGATTTTCTGGCCCCTCCATATCGCGGATACTGAACTGGGCGATAGATCGTAGTTTCCGTGTGACCCAAGACGCTAAGACCTTGCCTCGCTGTTTCTCGCCTAATCGAGACCGAGGGAAGTCTCCATGAGAAACAAATGCCACGATATCAGCAACAACTTGGTGCTCGTTTAGAATAGCGTCGACAATCACAGGCACGAGAGATGCTAAGTAAGCTTTCCTTGTAACTTCAACAACAACAACAATTAATCCACCTGCCTGGAAGACAGCACTATATCAATTATATTAGCAGATGTATGGCAGACTGGAATACTATGACTGTTCACTTACCAGCCTCCGGTCACAATGTTGCGGTGACATCTTTCAACGGAGTTTTCAATATCCATTGGGAAATGGTTCAGACCATTGACCTCGAAGGTCTCACCGATCCCTCCAAGGACAAATAGTACTTGCATTTCGACGGGCTGTCCTCCAGGGCCAATAGGTCTCGTGACAGTGTGAAGGAAGCCCAGATCGCCAGTACGTACATAGGCCACACTAGGGTCACCGTCTACAATTCGCCCGTTAAAACGCTCTTGATCGAAATCTTGCTTAGAACCGTAGAATGCCTTGGCGCAGGCATCCGATTGTATCCAAATCTCGCCATATTCACCCACATGTGACAAAGTACAGGTCTCCGGGTTCACAATAGCTATTTGTGTATTCACCGGCACCATTCCAGAGTCTTGAACGGCAAGGGCAGTTGGGTCTGTATCAGGATCTACGGGACACACAAGTCCACGACGCAGAGCCCGAAGGTCAAGCCATAATTCAATCGGTTCGATGCACATATATGATCTCGTGACAACCATCGGGTTGAGGACATGAGAATACACTATGTTGATTGCGGTACGGTCGAGACTTGCAGAAGCGAAGTGCAGACGCACCTTCTGGTCTGGAGGCAAGAGCATGTCAGCATACCTGTTTTGATTGATCGGATCACAAGGGACATACATATATCGATACGTGGTCGGCCTTCAGCAGATATCATCAAGTTCTTCAATTCCTGAAGTCGGAAACCCTTCCCAGCCATTGCAGTCATCGCATAATCCAACATCTGGCTTGTAGCATACGTATCTTTAATCTTATAGCGTGAAAGAGTGACGAAAAGTGTCATGGGGTTTGTTGCGAAGTCGACAGGTGATACGAGGTATGTTGGAGCCCCTAGAAGATTTGGTTAACTTAGAAGACATCTTAAGAGTATTGATTCTGCTTACCAACATAGATACCCATCAAACAGGTATGGAGGAAGCCAAGACTCAGGGTGCTGCGAACACTACCCAAAACGGGTCTTGCACTGCTCATCTGGCACGTCTCTTTTTGTACCTTGCACATACCCATAATAGTATCATGGCCGATATGGACTGATATTCTCCTCTGGTCTGGCGTCCAATAAGTCCAAACCATGGCCGGTGTACTTCCCTGTAACCATGCATCTTTCACAACATAACCGAGCTCTCGACAGCCGTGAGACTGTTTCCCTGGCTTTGTGGTGTTGTAGATTGCCGGTACACCTATCCGAAGAACCTGTGCAGACTGCTTGATATGCTGCGAAACGAGCTTCTGTCTCATCACATGATCAACATCACTGTTTACAATGATGGCTTTCACATTGAAATCATTGATAACGTGTAAGAAAGCTGGGGCATCTTCTGAGAGCCGATTTTGATCGATAGGGGGAAGAGGAATGGCAACCACCCCCAGACAGAAGCAAGCATGAACTGCATAGACGTATTCTTCTGAGTGGGTATACATAAGCACCAAGTGATCGCCTAGACGAACTTTGACTTTATTCCTCAGATAGCTTGCTACAGCGGCAACTTTCAAGTCGAATTTCTTCCAAGTGATGCCCTTCCCTTCCTTTCCACGGCCATCGATGGAGCAGTAAGCTAGCTCTTCTGCCTGACGAGAAACACGCCAATGAAGGAGATCCACGATAGTTGAGAAATTGCTCAATGGCGTTGATGTGCGATCATCCATGACGACTTCACGGTAGTCTACCCCCGAATACTGCTTTTCTTGCATGGCAAGCATTTCTTGTCTTGACATCAGGGCTAGGGGAGACCAGATTCCTCCGACTGGGTCAACTCCAACTGGTAAGTTCATAACCGACCGCTCAACACCGAACTTTACATGAACACAGGGTAAAGTTCCAGAATCAAAATCTCTGCGGCAGAGCATGTTACCGATCTCTTGCCTGCCATTCTTAGTGACACGAGGTAGAGTGTTGGGAGCGGTGAGCAGGACACAGTAGACCCGCAAGTGGTGTTCTTGATAGAGGACTTCCATGCACCTTTCTGCTAGAGATTCAAGGAGAACAGAGTCCAACTGTCGTGGAGGTCCACCGGAGGTTGCTGGTGCTGTGGACGCTGCGTATGACTCTAGAACCACGATCGGAAGATGTTCTTCGTTGACAAAAACATCGAAGGCTGTACAATCGTGTATCTTAGGTACGTTTTTCAAAAGACTGACGATCATATGTTGAACGAAGAAATAACGATGCTCAACGATTTCCTGTCCGTGTTCCACCCACTCAACCTTCTGGCGAAGACGGTCTTCATAGAGACCCAGCACAAATATCTTGCCTTCAATCACACACCCCAGTAGACCAGTCCGCAAGAACTCCGGCTCCACCAACACAGGAGTTGGGTTTCCCTCTTCGAACTTGTAGGGCCGTGCATGGAAGATTGCTTCAGTATGTTTTGGCAGCGCCCAGAAGCCTCCGGAAAGGGATGGCGAGTCCACCCAAATCTCTCCGATCACATTCGGTGTGCACAGCAAATTTGTCTCAGGATCGACAACAGCCAGTGTAGCATCAGGGATAGGATAACCGAATGAGCCAACGCGCACGGCATGTGGCATAGACCCAGCAAACTTCCTAGCCTCTTCACCCATTGCCAAAACGACAATTTCGTTGCTTTTTAAAGCCTCTTTGTCGAGAAGAACTTCTTGGAGCTCATTCTTTGTTTGCTCTTTTGAGACAGGAGCTGGTGATGAAACCCCACCCAACAAACTGCTGCCAAACCCGCTGTTGTCTTTGGTCTTTTCTGACTGTCTCTCCTCCTTCTTGAAATCCTCACGCTCATTTGGATCCATTTCATGAGTCAAAGAACAACCCATGCGTTCTTCACCGCCTAGCCAATCCCGCACACTGATTACCATACCTCCGTGCTCGGGCAAGCAAAGCATTGGAGCGACAATTTCCCGAGCTCTTGGATTCCTCATCGGCCTTAGCCATCTGTCCGCCAAGATCTCGTGGAACTCAGCATCAACAGTAAGAGTGTCTATAAGACAGAGCTTAACACTTCCGAAGTTGGGCTCAGAATTTTTCTTGTAATGCCGCGTGGCCATTGGATCCTGTTGATAATTGTAGGCGGTTATTTTGAGGCCAGGGTAATCTGCAGCCATGATAGTTGCCCTGTACTTCGTGATGAGGTGTGCATAGAGGCCTGGCGTTTCAACTGCCCGATCTTCTAGCCAGACGGTTGTGTGACCACCATATACTGTAAGAAGCACACCTAAGATCATACCGATTCCATGCCTGGGGTCGAGATAGCTCATGAGCGTTTCTCCATGCGATCTGACTTTTGAAGAGCCCGGCACAGTCGAGATCATTGCGCTAAGGCAGGCCATCTGATGCATGATTGTTCGGTGACTCATGACAACACCGCGCAAATCCCCCGTAGGTGCTCTTGAAAATTCAATATAAGCCAGGTCGGGAACCACAAGACGCGGTACATCATCCTTTTTCTTCGGATGATAACTTCCGAATTCGTTCGTTTTCCACCACTCTACACCTCTTGGCCAGTTCAATTTTTGGGCGGTAATATCCCTTTGAAAGCTTTTCAAATTATTTTCTGTAGTCAATGCAAGATGCGCTTGCGTTGAGGTGAGAACAAGGTTAAGGCTTTGATAGTCCTCGAGGCTATTGATTGGTACAGCAACAACGCCGGCGATGAAGCATCCCATGAGCGCAACGGCAAACTCTATGACCTCGGAATCTCGGTAGATGAGTGCTACTCGGTCACCGCGATATAGATTACTCTTATCTCGGATAACCTGTGCGACCTTTTCAGCACGACTTGCAAGCTTCTCCCATGTTATCGACGCAATCTCCTTGCCTTTTTGGTCCAATACCCAGTAAGCAGCCTGTTTTGAATGAATCCGAGAGCGATGCCGAAGCACAGCCGGGATGTTGTCAAAGTTAGACATTGGAATATTCTCGTCATGGGGGTCATGAACTGCAAATGGAATGTCGCGGGGTTCTAGAGGGAGCAAATGCTCAATTGCCGGCCCATGAGGCAGCTCAGAGGCCGGTATCAACGGCGGTGCCATATTTGCAGTGGGAGAAAATGCGTCTGACTGGGAGTAACGATGAAAGCCGCCCCCACCATAGCTATCTCTATAATCATCTTGTTGCTGACCCGCAAAATCAGAGAAGTATCCTTGCTGTGAGTCGAGCATCGTCGACTGTCGCGTGATTCCGCCAGGTGGTGGCATTTCATAAACACTAGCAGGTTCATCCAAATGATCTTGGTAAGGACCAGGGTTGAATGCATAGTTCTGACTCAATAGTGTCGCGGTCCTTGTATCTTCTGGTGTGACAGATGCTTCTTGTGACTTCGGCAGGAATAGAGAATCATATGAGCCAGACGAGGGCATTCGGTCGAGAGCCTGTAGGAAAGCGCTGTCTCTATCAACGGTGTGTTGTGTATCCGCACTGATTCGTCGATCGTATCCGAAGCTTCCGCTGCCCAGGGCGCTGTCACGTCCATTGGTGAATGAAGAGTAGCCCTGAGTTGTAGAGTCGGCGGTAGGCGGTCGAACGCTAAGTATAGCCGGTGGTGCATTATTTGAGCTCGTCAACGATGAAGAAGGTCCCCCGGAGCCAGGTGTATTAACTTCGAGGCCGCTGTTAGGGCCAAAAAATTGTGAAAGGAGAAGCGTCCGACGTTTCTGATAGCTTCCAGGAAGATCAGTTTCACCAATCGTTAAATAGTATATGCCCCATTGTATTGGATTTAAACATCATGTATTTGAGCACATCCGACTCACTTCCCGGCGGCTCTCATTCACCATGTTTGTCTGACAGAGGTCACTTACCCTTTCTCCGTGATATCTCCTTCCTGAGTACCAAGATGTTAGTCTTACACGATCAAGCAAGCATGACTCCCATATCTTTAAGAGCAGTTGATGGGTTTCTCTGCCCCATACACACCTCCAATTCTCTGTCGAGGTTCCGCAAAGCGCTATTCAGCTCTGGATTATCGTCCGCCATTTTCAAAGCGTTGAACATGAACTTGTTGAGGGGCTCTCATGCGAATCCGCGTTTAAAAGGATAAAAGAGTTCTACGATCCTCATCTCAGGATCCTTGAGGCGTCAGTCGTAGAGCGCTGGAGGGAATCTCAGACACCCTGACTTATGTGGCCCCCTAGCGATGATATCGTGAGGTGGTCCAATTTCACTCCGGGTTGTCCTCTATTTCTCCGCGCTTGAAGAGCCACAACGTCACCTGCCGCCGTGGCTTAAAGCCCCTCAAAGCCGGTCTCCACAAGCACAGGGGGGCCAATAACAGAACTTAGTTCCTTGCACAGCCACGACACAGAGCAGAAAATAAGCATAAGGGCACGAGGATGATCCTTAAAAGAGTATTCATAACAATGGTTATATTCGCTTACTTCCAGTATAGCTGGGTGTATTATTTGTGGATGGGCCACCAAGCCCACTATCATTGTCCAAACACATCGTTTTGCTCTCTTTTTCTGCATTTATATTTCCTTACAACTAACTGGATAATGCACGATTGGTACAAAGACTAGGTACGTTACGCAGATAAAAATGTAATTCGAAAACTTTACAGTTTGTACAACTTTTTTGCCGAGCGAGGATACACCTAAAATTGTTTAGTATACATTGGAAAGGAGACTAACACATTTTGACTGTACTGTACATATGGCGGGTCAAGTAGTAGTACGAGAATAGATACTTCTGCGTTTTATAGGACTACTTTCTCATTTGGGAATTAGCAACACCTATGTAATCCAAATCTGGCTTAGTGATTTGGGCACCACAAGCGCTACTATCACATGACCTACAGAATATGATTGGTGTTGGGCCAGTGCCCTAACGTGTCCACAGAGCTAAGCGAGCGCACCTCGATTTTCCTGGCAGCCAAAGGAAACATTTCAGCCGACCGACTGCTATCGTCGACGTTGAACGCTCACCCAACGACACCGCCCGTCACCTTTTACGAATCCCTCCCTCGACAACAGGTGCATTCGGCGTCCATAATGTCTGACCACGGGGAAGTCGAGGTCGAAAACACTGCGGCCTTCCAGGTCCTCCCCAAGGAGGCTCTCGCGGAGATGGGAACCGTGAAGCTCTTCAACAAGTGGAGCTACGAGGATGTTGAGATCAGGGATATTTCCTTGACGTAGGTGCTTTCCAATTCTTTGCGATTTTCTGTGCTACGATAAAACCGCGTCCGTCCAAGCGTCGCCTGGTTGAATTTGGAATGGGAAATGATGCGACAACGAGGGAGAGGAATGAACTGTGCAAGAGGGATGCGGAAAAGGATGCATATCGAAATGGAATTTGCTGACTCGAATCTACGCACATAGCGACTACATCCAGATTCGTAACCCCGTCTACCTTCCTCACTCCGCCGGTCGCTATGCCGCCAAGCGTTTCCGCAAGGCTCAGTGCCCCATCATTGAGCGCCTGACCAACTCGCTCATGATGAACGGCCGCAACAACGGCAAGAAGCTCATGGCTGTGCGCATCGTTGCTCACGCTTTCGAGATCGTACGTGCATCTTTTGTGGTGGACCAGCCGATACCTCAGACACCAGAAACTAACAACTTCCGCAGATCCACATCATGACCGACCAGAACCCCCTCCAGGTTGCCGTTGATGCCATTGTCAACTGCGGTCCCCGTGAAGACAGCACCCGTATCGGTTCCGCCGGTACCGTCCGTCGTCAGGCCGTTGATGTTTCTCCCCTCCGCCGTGTCAACCAGTCCATTGCCCTCTTGACCATCGGTGCCCGTGAGGCCTCTTTCCGTAACATCAAGAGCATTGCTGAGTGCCTCGCTGAAGAGCTTATCAACGCTGCCAAGGGAAGCTCGAACTCCTATGCCATCAAGAAGAAGGACGAGCTTGAGCGTGTTGCCAAGAGCAACCGGTAAAGGGATAATGTTGGGCGTATTCTCCGTTTGGTCCTGTTTCTATTTGTACTGGAGTGGACGGGGGGTTCTATAGGATTCAGTCGATTGGCATGCATCTGCGCGACTGTACATACCTCAAAACAGTCACTGGAGGGAGCAAAATCCAAAACGAGAATGGGACGGCTTTCTTCTATAGTAGCTGAGATGCGATCATGAAGACCTTGGGCTTTTAAGTCGGTACCTTTTATTTTTGTTCAACGAAAAAAAAGATCTTTCAAATTTCCATAGGTTGCTTCGTCTTTACGACGACCAACGTAGTTCGTCTTGGCTGCAAGCCATAGGTAGTGGCTCAGCTTCACCATAGCGCGTAGATCTAAGGAACGGAGGCTAATCTGAGGCTCTTGACTTTTGATTTAAGTCGCTCTACAAGGGATAGGCGGATCATAGACGTCTTCCGCAGAGCGACTTTGCTCTGGACGTTTTGTCGCTTATCGATAGGCTTGCCCGATCCCGTGGAGCGAAAAAAAAGTTCGGATCCGTTATCAAACGTGAGCACTACCACCTCCCACACCCCGATTTCTCTTTCCTTGATTCTTTCACCACATACTTTCGAGTGACTGGTGAAATATTTCTATAAAAATGGTAAAACGGAAGCTGGGAGCCTTGGAAAAGGTCGAGGCCGACCTGTGAGTACTTAATTGTCACCTCCATCCGAAAGTTGAAGATTTATCTTTCCACTAACGTAATCTTCAGACCCAATTTACAGCATAAAATTCGAAGAGACCCAAAGTAAGTTAATCACGGCACTCAAAAATGGGTATACCTGTCGATTGTTTGTTAATATGCATCGTGTTACAGATCTTACATCGAAGATTTTCGCGCTCAACATTATCAATATGAGAGTCACCGAGAAATTTTCATGGCAGCACCGACGTCGGCCACCGATACGGGCATTATCTCATTGCGCGAACTGATCGACTTTGTTGCTCACGTTGCCGACTGTTACCCAGACATTACCAAGGACTTCCCTCAGCAGCTCATGGACATCTTGACGCAGCATCACTTAGTATTGGAGCCGGAACTTCGAGAGAAGATCGTGGGGAGTCTAGTTCTGCTGAGAAAGAAGGAACTTCTTGACTCTGCAACGTATGTTAATGTCATTCACAGAATGGGTTTATTTCGTTACTGAATATTGAGGCTACAGATTACTCCAGACCTTATTTCCTATTCTCATTTCGACGCCCAGCAAGACATTACGAGCATTGATCTTCCAAAAGATTTTAATGGATCTTCGTGCTTCGAACGCTAAGACAACAAACCACAAGCTCAACCGCACCATGCAGACTGTCCTTTATAACTTGGTGACATCAGACCGTGTCTCGTCCAAGGGTCTATGGGCCATTAAACTCATTCGTGAATTATGGAAGCGGCAGATCTGGTCCGATGCGAAAACTGTTGAGGTCATGAAGGAAGCTAGTTTGTCGGAAAATGAGAAAGTTATTATCGGTGGTGTTCGCTTTTTCCTAGGCGGAGATCAAGAGCGCGAGGAAATGGAGGATGAAAGCAGTGACGAAGAGGCCATAGACCTTGGTAAGGTCAAGCACCAGGTTGGTATCAACAAGAAGACCAGGAAGAAGTCTCGCGCTGTGGAGAAGGCGAAAGCAACTGTCAAGAGAAAGGAGCGCAAAAAGAACCAACCACACCCACTGAATTTCTCTGCGCTACATCTTCTACACGATCCTCAAGGCTTTGCAGAAGCTTTGTTTTCGAAACATCTGCAAAATTCCAAGTCCAAGCTCAATCTAGAGCAAAAGCTTCAGGTTTTGCAACTTGTAACTCGCCTTGTCGGATTGCATAAGCTGCATATAATGCAACTCTACTCTTATTTCCAGAAATATCTCACTCCACGACAACCTTCGGTCACTTCGTTCTTGGCATCGCTAGCGCAAGCGTCGCATGATTTGGTTCCTCCGGATGTGCTTGAACCGCTCATTCAGAAGATCGCGAATGAGTTCGTATCTGAAGCATCGGCATCGTTGGTTGCTACCGCTGGTCTCAATGCCATCAGAGAGATCTGTGCACGACAGCCACTTGCAATGAATGAGACATTACTACAAGATCTCGTTATGTATAGAAAGAGTAAAGATAAAGGTGTTGTGATGGCAGCCAGAGGTCTACTTGGTCTCTACAGAGACCTTAATCCGGAGATGCTGAAAAGACGTGACCGCGGCAAAGAGGCATCTATCGGTCTTCGCTCAGGAGAAAAGAAAGAGAAGCGTTTTGGAGAAGAAGCGGCCGGTGGTATCGAGGGCTTGGAGCTACTCGAGCAGTGGAAGGAAGAGGAGCGCAAGAAGAGGAGGGCCGAAAAGGGGCTTCCTTCTGATGCAGAAGACGACGAGGATGAGGAGGATGAAGAAGCCGACTGGGACGCTTGGAATGTAGAAGACGATGAGGACAGTGATGACTCCGGCGGCTGGATCGATGTCCAGAGCGATGCAGAAATCGATCTTAGCGACTCCGACGATGAGAAGGACGCACGCCCGTCAAAGAAGGCCAAGCAGGATGCCAATAATGAAGAAAATGCCAATTCCGAGACAGCGCAGGATAAGACAGAGGCTCAAAAGCCAGATATTGCAAACATCGCAACCACACGTATTCTTACACCGGCAGACCTGGCGAAGCTTCAAGAATTACGCACTCAAGCAGCTGTTGACGCACTTGTTCCAGGCGCCAAAGGTCGCCGTGGTCAGACAAACGCTTCTCGGCATAAGGATGATCCTCTGACGGCTGAAGAGATTGAGGGTTTGGCTGCTCTGTCCGCCGGAAAAGCAACTCGTGAAGAACGAATTGCCCATGCTAAGGAAGGGAAGACTGATCGTGGAGAGCATAAGAGTATCACCGCGAAGAGAAAGGAGCGTAAGGTGGAACAGGGTAAGAGTACTACGAATAAGGAGAAGGCTCGCAGAAAGAACATCTTCATGACCCTCGGGAAAGCAAGAAACAAGGGTAAGAGGAGTCTTGTGGAAACTCGCAACGTATTGAAGGCCCATCAAGACCGCCAGAAGCGTGGCGGCAGGAGAGGAAACAATGGTTAAAGGTCGATGTATATAGGTGGAGACAGCCCACGGTCGATAGTTTTGGTCGCTGTAATAGAGCGGTATTTTGGTTTTTGAATTTACATTGTTAAAATCTACGTTAAGATATAGCTATGTCCTTTGTATTCTTTGTAATGGATCGATCCCACCGCCTGTCTAATGCCTTTTGATTCTTGATTGGGACGAGTGTCCCACCAAGACTTTCTTGACCGGTTTACAAATAACCAATACCGATCCAAACTAGCCTGATCGCATAGTGAAGGACGCAGAGAGTCGACCTCATTCACGTATGGAAGCCCTAGTCACGTCCCAAAGGAGATATATTGGATATGAGAGCGACACGTGCCTATGCGCGTCACCCCGCGTCGCGTTTCCCGCCGCCCAGCCTCTCATTTCCGTCATCACCTTTCTCTTCTCTTCTTCCTTCCAGTTGTCAACTGTCATAGCCTGCATTCTCCTTGAAACTTCGTACGGAAACTCTCCCACACCAGGTTCTAAGTGGATCATCCTCCCCCCACAGTGTACTTTAAAGAGAGAAAGAGGTCTAAAAGGAGAAAAAAGGAAAAATCTCTCAACACTTCATCGTCAACAATTCCAAACTACATCAAAGATGTCTCCATCACTTCAAAATACGATGTCGTCCAAGCGCAGGCGATTCCAACCACCGATAACCTCCTTCTTCCCCGCAACAACAGGAACAGATCACCCCGATAGCTCATGTGCCCCTCACTTATCTTATACCCACTACTCCACCACCACATCATCCCCCACACCTGCCGTTGATACAAAAATCCAAGCATCGCTACTTTCAGTCGGCATGCGCATCCGCAAATCAGTCGCAGAAGGATACAAAACTCGAATCCCTGATTTGGAAGACAAGCCAACTCCCTATACAAACAAGACCCCGATCGTCGGAGGTCCAACTGCCTATACCGAACTGGCGCCCTTCTGCGGCATGACGAAATCAGGCGAATCTGCAACCCAACCTATGACTCATCCTTCCTCGCTGTCCTACACTCAAATGGATCAACTCACAACGGACGACGGAGATGCTTTCTCTCTCCCACCAAGCAGCCAAGGATCAATTGAGTCGGTCCAGACAACCGCACAGAAGCGATCATACGACTGTGACGAAGATGATCTCGAAGAGGCATTCGATGAAATGCCGACTCATCCGGGCCACAACTGGCAGAACGTCTTGGATCCGAGTACAGGGGTGAAGTCCGTGCCTGGCCGTTCTATCCTCACACCAAGTCTAGGACAGCAGCGACGTCATTTTGTTGCCATGAAGACACAAGCGACTATCGATGTTGATGATTTTGAAGAGCCCACCTTCCTTCGTAGGCGCGAAGAGGTTGACATGGATCTATCATGAATGGAGCGAATGTGGCTATGGTCCAAATGGGAGGCTGGTCTATACTGTTCGCCATGTTGTCTCTCACTGGACCACCCTTGTGTGGACGTGATTGCTCACCGCGCCATCTAATTGCTACTATGAGCACGGTATGCTTATTGGATGGGTTCCGGTCATTCGCCACGAGTTCCTGAACTTCTAATTAAGTTGAGGTCGGCGTTCGGGTGTTTCCTTCTATTATCTCCTTGCATATGTTGAGATATCATTTGTTACTTCTGATTATCGTCAAGCGATTGTATGTACAGATACCCGCATTGGTTGGACATGGTTATGCCAACTGTACCTTGTGATTATAAGATTTATATCAGAATATTACCACTTGTATTTATAACAAACAAGTAATGACAGAATGTCTGTCTTTTTACTTGTCTGTTTGGCATTGACAATATATTCTATCTAGTTTACAGCCCCTGTCTTCAGTAGGGCAGATGGAACAATAGGGCGCAACAAGACTATGATCACGGTCTTGAAAAAAAGTCCAAAATAATCAAGAGCGCTGGCCGTTCATGTACCAAAGAAATATGCAGTTCCGAAAGAAGTAGACCTAAAAAAGAAAAGAGAGGAAATGAGAACACAGGAAATAACGCTCAAGCCGAACTCCATCATTTATTCTGCAAATAATATTACAGTTCGTCCTTGACATTGGCTTTCTGTTTCTGTTCGTCCTCCTGCTGTGACTTCTCCTTCTGGGCCTTCTCAGACTTGGCCTTCTTGCCATTCTTTTTTGACTGGTCCTTTCCGGACTTGGCTGCCGCTGCACCCATCTTCTCATAAATACGGTTCATGGTGCGTTCGAGCTCCTTGAGACGGGTATCAAGCTCAGCCACAGTCAGAACTGCGTCATCGGATTCGGCTAGTTTCTCTTGAAGAGCAAGCTGGGTTTCGAACCAAGTGTTGGTGGATTCAAAAACTTGAGCCAAACTGGCAAGGTCAGATGGCTGAAAAATCGAGTACTTTGGGCCGGTGGGTTTCGCCGTTGAGGTGGTTGAGGGGGTTTGAGATGCTGTGGACGAGTATGGATCTTCATCCAGGTCTTCAAGAGGGTCGGCGGTTGAAGACGGTTCACTAGATGAGGTAGCCGATGAAGTTTCTTCACTAGTAGAGGATGCAGATAAGGACGATGAGTACAGGTCTTCATCCTGCTTGACTTGCTTCTCCATGAGGTCCAGGACAGTCTTAGCATTCTTCAGCACATCTTGTAAAAGCTCAATACGAGCTGGACGAGCGGCGTTTTCTTGTTTTCTCTTAAGCGCAGGATTAACAATGTCCTTCAGGGCCTTGAGCCTTTCTTGGAACTCTGATGTCTTTGCATTTTCGCCGTCGCCATAAAGCCAATCACTAGCGGCAGCGGACTTCTCCTGTAGGGCTGCCAACTGATCTGGCTTGATTACCTTGGCGAACTCCTCGTCATCTACAAGATCACGGCTTCGGTAGATGAACGACTCCAGCTCATTCAAAGCCTCTTCACGTAGGGCACGATCACGGTCCGAGGCGTCAAATGCGGCCAAACGTGCTTTAACACGGCCAAGCTCAGTCTTGGATAGGGCAGGAATTCCTAGAGGGGACGACGTGAAACGAATGGGAATAGTCTCCATATTGGTCTGGGGCGTGGTCTTCTTGTTTTCTTTAGCGGAAGCGGTAGAAGTAGCGTCGCTAGCTGAAGTTGTGGAGGCTTGGGACTCCTCAGGCTCCAGAGTGATCGACTCGCTAGGCTCTCCATCTTCGTTAAGAGCTGCCTGCTCCTTCTTAGAACCCAAACCGAAGAAGCCTTTGACGTCTTCAACAACACTTCCCGTCTTAGAGTTCTCAACTTCGCAACTCACAGCGCCATTGACAACCTCGGGAAGACCATCAACGGGGCTCAGACGAATAGAGAACTTGGTAGTGATGTTTGCAGGAGAGCAGCCAAAGCTCTCCTTCAGTTTGGCAACAGATGCCGTGAGATTTTGCGTCTGTACACGCAAAACTGGAGACTCAACCACATTGTGCTCCAGCGGAATCTGCTGGTAGAAACTGAACTCAAAGTCCTCAAGGTTTTTCACAGTGACTTGCTTCTCAGGGCCAACTTGGGAAGTAGGAGTGAACAGCTTCTGCTGTCTATCCCGGGATTCAGAAGGCCACTTCAGCAAGACGGGATAACCAGAGACGTCGTGGGCCCGGATATCCTTGACGCGGAAGCTAGGGCTGAGGGCAGCTCCCTTGAAAGCAGCGCCAAAAACAGCAGCCTCATCTGCGTTAACGCTAGTTCTGAGTTTGTTGGATGCTCCGCAGACCCGCTCCAGCTCCTTCTGGACAAATGGGGTACGGATAGCTCCACCGTGCAAGATGACAGAATCAATGTCGTTCAACTGTAATCCAGCAGCCGCCAGAGCTTGCTCCAGAGGCTGTCCAACCCGGGCAATATGCTGTTCTGCAAGCTGCTCGAACTTAGAGCGAGTGATGCGGTATTTGAAATTGAAGTCTTCCTCATACAGGTTTTCGAAAGAGGCTCCAGTTTCAGTGTTGGCGCTCAGAACCTGGCGAGCTTTCTCAGCGTCCTTCCAAAGCCGCGCCATGGTTTTGCCGTGAGAAGCGATATCGGCTGGTACGACACGATCTTTCAATTTCTTGTCTTGGACCAAGTTTGCAATCATGTCCCCGACCACGAGATCATTCAGGGAATCTCCACCAAGAGTCTTATCCCAGCCTGTTCCTAGAACATGGACTTCCTGGACTGTCTTATTGAACTTTCCAACATCCTTCACCGAGCGACTTTGGAAACGAAGGACAGTGGCGGTTGTGGAACCCGCACCCATATCGTAGACAACATGATACTCGGGCTTCTGCCCATTTGAAACACTGGGGAACTGACGACTGGTTGCATAATTCAATCCAACAGCGAGGCCTTCACTAACAAAAGCGTCGACATTCAGACCCGCTAATTCTGCCGCCAACTCTAGACTTCTCTTCTCCCCAGCCGTGTAGAAGGAGGGATAGGTGATCACCACATCTCTGATATCTGAGCCTTTCCCGGCAAGGTTATCGGCGTTGACTTTGACCTGCTTCAATTGCATGGCCAAAAGCTCTTCAACAAGGAAGATGTCCTTCCTTTCTTCCTCGCCAAGTCTATTGCTTCGAAATCCGACAGTTCCCCGCTCAGCAGCTTTTTCTAGTTTCAAGGCGGGATACCTGCCAAGGTGTGTCTGAACTGCTTCGTTCCCATCACCATTGAAGGGAACCCCCAATAGTGTTTTCAAATTCGCGTAGACATCGTCCGGATAACGTGCAGCGAGTGCTAGCGCGTCGCCGCCGTAGAATCTCTCGGGGAATGGCGCATTATCTCTGGTGGGTTTGAATGCAACAGCAGCAGACTCCTTACGTTTCGAGTCCTTTGTGAGTACGATCTCCAGTGGAATTCCCGGTTTCACAAGCACCGCTTTGAGGTATTCTGTGCCCACATCGATACCGATCACTGCGGATCCAGCAGCAGCGGCGGGCGCTGGAAATGCAAGGAAGAACAGCAAGAAGGGTACTATTAAGACGGAAAGAACCGGAGAAGAGGTAAATAATCGGGGTGAACTATGTCGTAGTTTGACAGCCATTGTCTATATATCTGTTGTAATTAAATGGTCAATCACCCCACCTCTCAATTGCTGACATAGGGGACTCTTTACTTTGGAAATATGCGCGTTCTTCTCTAATAAAGAAAAACACTGTCCGACCGGTCTAGTAATCTTCTAGAATGTGTACAGATGGGAGTTTGGACCAAATGCCAAAATGCACTTAAAGTGCCAGTAGAGGCGAACTTGTGGTAAACTATAAGAACGAGTTAGCAAGGGAAGAGAGTCGGCTGAATGGGAAGTAGGGAATGCGGCATACGTCAAGTTGGATAAGTCAAGCCATCCAGAACACGGTCACACACTGAATTACTGGCCACCTGGCAGTAAGCATGAGTAATAATTTGTGATTCCGAATTATCAAAGGGAAACTTTTGGAGAGGACACGTTTGGGATCAAGGGATGCAAACATCCCCAAACTGGGTCATGTTTGCATCAGTGGTCCCTGCAGATCACGGGCCCATCAGGATGACTTTACTACTAGTATCAGTAGAACTACCTTTACATATTATCAAGGGTTGTTTAAGCACGAATAAAATGTACCATAAGCTATATGTTAATGCCACTATTCGTCATCGAAATCCGAATCACTCATCCATCCGGTCTCGTAAGATTCTCGAATCTCCCCCAATCCATTGACAAGTGTTTCACGTTCATCAACGCCAATAATTCGCCCAGCAACTGTCTCCAACACTTTGATCCTTTCCGCTGTCCGAGAGGATGCAGTAAGCGCTGCGAGAACATTTACTTTGTTTTGTTTTGTACCTGAGAAGATACGACCAGGGTAGCTGTCCAGAATGGGGAATGCCAGGGGCGCGTGGAAACTGTCTTATGTTAGACCGAGAACACCCATCACGTATAAACTACTACGCCGGCTCTCACCTTTGGAACATTGGTGCTGAATTGTAGTAGCGCTGCTTCCGAGAGAGGCTAATATCCTCTTGAGGAACGGACTCATTGTCCTGGTCAGGTTTGGCTCCACGCCAAACTTGAAGCTGGTTGAATATATGAGAGTTATTGCTTCCATGCCCATCGTAGGTAAAATCTAATTCAAATTCTGCTTGAGATTTAACTGCACCCTGTTCCGAGACGTTTGTTTCAGCCAGTGGTCCTTTAACAGGTAGGTGCTGTTCGTTGGTTCCATCGTCCGCGGTGACAGAGGATTGCAACTCAAATATTTTGTGGGTGCCATCATCACCGGCTAAGGAGGACTCGAAGTCATGGAATTGCCGAAGACGGGTTGGGAGCGTAACGCTTTCCATAGCAGAGCTGATAAGTGCAGTAGTATGCCATTCAGAGTGCGGGTCGACGTACACTTTGCTCAGAGTGTGACTAGGCGGATCAATAATTGGAGTATACAGTGATGACTGAGGAGCGATACTGTATATCGTCCGCGCTTTGTTCATATCCCGTTTAAGTTGAGTTTGCTGTGATCAGGAGCAACATTAGACCCATTGCAGAGATAAGAGAAGGATAACTCACACGAGACACCTTTAATCCACCTTCAATTGCCCATACCCAGATAGACTTTTTACCAAACTCATCTCGCAGTCTGTCGATATATCTAGCAGAGAAACCGCCCCAAGCATCATCAGAACTTGTGAACAACTGGATTGCCTGTAATTGATCACATTCCTCCGCGAAAGGTCTCACATCTCTATCAAGAAGATCATGCTCTTTGTCAAGGTCACTGAACAGGTCTTCTCCGACAGTCCAATCTTCGAAAGGCATGATCATGCTGTTCAGCTCGTAATCATTCAATTGAACAATCGAGCGGGGATGATAAAAGAGGCGATTATAATCAGACCAGTACCGAACTGTTTCAGTTGTGAGTTTGGGAGCAGGGAGCCCTGCATCTAAGTTCTTCTGGTACTCGCTTTGAGATATTGGCGTCTGTTGTTGTATGACTTCTTTCCCGTCCCATAAGCCTTGGCCAAAATTTGCCTCCTCGGTCAATTCATACAGTGCGTTATACTTTCGAAGAGTACCAAAAGCACCTTTTAAGTCATATATTACTGTCCTAGGAGTGAAGGTTTCTGTCCCATCTGCGCCCACACCAGGACGAAAATGGACGTCATGGTCCACCGGAGATTCTTCTTCTCCATTGTAGGTAAAATAAGACTCCTGTCATTTTCGAGTTATTTGAGCAGTGCCCGATGAAATGTAAATAGGCAAATTAAGCTTAGATGATATGTACCTGGATATTCCAGAAATGAGTAGCCAGATAATTGGCCCGCTGCCCTAGTTGAAGGGTTACGATCTCATGCATGCTTAACTAGAACTCTAGTGCGCACAGTGAGATTATTAGCCCACACCTTTAGCGGATAACTTGATGACCATAAAGTACATACGAGGTAGAGGTCCGGTAGAAGCTGATATTGCATCAACGAGCGTGAGAGCTACTTCAATGTATCTCCTCTCAGAAAGAAACCCTATACAGCTTTAAATGGAATTAATACTAGTATTGCAAATGATACTGTGTATGGCATCACAAGCCAAACGCACGGACCAGATGGGAGTCTCGCTTCCAATTATGGTATAAAGTTCCACCACATTCCACGTGATATGACTAGATCATATTTGGCAAGACTGGTAGTCAAGGGCAACGGTCACATGACGTGATGTGAGTGTGCAATAAACAAGCCAAGAGGCGTTGTTGTGGGTGCGTCACCGATAGGGATCAACCGAACACACTCCACAACGATCGATTAACGACGGGACTTGTTTTTCCAGTAATCCTTCTTCTCCCACGGCAGACTGTCATGCCCAACTGGGGGACCTCTTTCACCCTACTAATCAGATAATATATTGTACTGGACCATGGATTCCCCATCAAGCGTCATGTCTAGTCCTTCAAAGGTCCTCAATAATCCTCTGTCAAGCCCAACGAAAGCGCTGAACCCTCTTTCACCAGAGCGCCTCAATCAGCAAACATTTCCCAACTCACCAACATTACCCAATGACGTACGCAATATGCAACGGAAGCCTAGAGGTTTATCAGATGTCCAAGCCAAGGTTGCGTATTTGAACAATCTGTCGCGAGGGAACAGTCCAGCAGCGTCTTCGACACAGCCATCTGCCGGAAGCTCAGCGGCTCTTCAACGTGCTATTCTAGGCCGTGAGGAGGCGGAATCCGCACTGGCCAATGTTTCTGTACAACTCTCGGAAGCCCAGTCTCGTGAGCGTCGCATCAGTGAGAGGCTCGAATCGTTGCTGGAAGAACTGCAAACTGCAAAGGCACGACAAGCCCACGAAAGAGCAGTATTTGAGAAAGAAATACGGAAAGCGAGAAAAGAGGCGTTTCGCGCTGGGTCTGTTTTAGTGAAAGCTCAGGAAGAATTAAAACAGGCGAGATCTGAGACCAAAGTGTTAAAGGATGAGGTCCAGTCAGAGCGAGAAGCCAAGGAAAAGGCGAAGCAGGAGGCGTTCGAGCGCGCGTACACACTTGCAGGTCTGGTGGAGGAAATAGAAGTAATGAAAGGACGCTTGCGAACGGCAGAAGCGAAAAGTCATGCGCATACTCTGGAAGCACGTGCCCAGGAGATGCACAAAGGAGATGTTGGAAGACTATCACTAGCAGAAGGCGACCTTGCATTTCTCCAAACGCCTACGCCCCGAAGACCGAAACGATCCGCAGAAGAATCTGATGACACGTCATTGGAAAGTCGTTTCAACCATTCTCTTGCCCAAGATACTCCTCCCAAGAGGCCGAGAGTCTCCGATGTTACGCCTAGGAACGAAATCCAAAGATTAGGTTCACCAGAAGCGAAAGGTGACAGTATTCACGAATTACAAATACAATTAGAATCTGAACGACAACTGAGGGTCAACGCGGAAGATATGATAGAGTTCCTGAAAGTGGAGTGCATGTTCAAACGATGCACTTGTCGTATCGAAGAAGAGCGAGAAAAGGGTCATTTTCAAAATACGACAGAACACGCAACCAAGAAACTCGATGGTCCCGGCGAACACATCGACAAAGATGAGCCTGCAGGCGCCAAACCGCATACCGAAAACTCCCCATCCTCTCCCCATAAAAGCTCTGGCAAACCTATCGAGTCCGCTGAAGAACCAGAAACAGAAGATCAGCAGCAGCCAGAGGAGACTACTATAACATTCTCGCCTGCTACTGGAACTTTCCATACAATCCCATCTCCTGTTAGAAGGTCACCAATTAAGAAGCTGGAGCATGAAATTGTAGAACTCCCTCAGCTTGTCTCTGAGAGCCAGTCAACCCCTCAGCCACAGGCCACTAGCCCACTTGCGAAGTATGACGTACCATGGGATGAGACACCTTTTGAAACAATTCATGAAAGTCAAGCCCATGGTCCGCTCTGCCCCTCTAGGGTTCGTCCTTCACCCGCCACTAGCGACGTGCCATGGGACTCTGAAGCCCCTAAGCAGCATCGTTTCGAAGGAAATGTTGATGAGCATGATAGCATCAGAAGAATACCATTGCGGAATGAAAGCGTGGAACCAGACCACTTGCGTGGCATCCCGGGAACGCCTATCGACCGAGAGGAAGCCCTAGCGCAAATCCGGGCAAGGAGGGGTCGAACCAACAATATGAAGAGGTCTGTCAGTGCCAATGAAAGTACGTTGCGCGCTGATGGCATGGGGGAGACTCCTGTTAGAGCAGCGCGTCGAATTCCTGCCGTTCAGAATCCAGATGGAAGGTACAGTGAGATACGAAGTCGAAGGGACATGAGTGCGCCAGTCAGGATGTTCCACCGGTAACACTTATCTCACACTACATGGCCTCCTAGATGTTTACGAGTATTTGGACAGAAGCATTTATTAACTCTGGATAACTTATGATACCCTGGTGCTCCGAGGGGACCGGCGTTTTGGGAATTTTTTTTTTCGATAACAATATAACAGAGCTCTTAATCACCGCTCAGTGTCTTTTGGGTTTTCAGGGTTACCTTCACGAAATTTCGTCTACAACTCTTCTGCCGGATGGTTTTCGGCATATCCCTTCTACCATGCAATGATGGCGGGAAGTTTAGAACAAGGAATCTTGTCTTTGCTCTTATACTTTCTAGTTTTCACCATGCACAACCATTCCACTCGTTTCAGTATTATGTTCATTGAATTACTTTTCCTTTGTCCACTTGTATATATGTCGTTTATAATGTAGATAAGTGATTTTGCATGATAGGGTTAATGAAAAAGCTTGACACCATGAACATCTAAGGGTAAATTGTGGTTTCTTGAATAACCCTTCTCAACCATTGGAAAGTATACAAGATGGGCTTGCTCTCACACACAGGCTGTGATAACTCCCAACGCAATGAATTCCTATAAGGCTAGCCGTTTTGATCGGGATATATACAGTTTAAGCCCTCCACCGGATGAAACCTCGTAAGCGATAGGGATATGCACACCGATATATGTCGAAAACATTTCCCAAGCCCAACAATAAACAACTCAGCTAATTGTGGCCGTGGCAAATGTGTTTGTCATTCCACTTTTTATAGCGCTCCTACCTATCCATTGTGACTCTCAGTTGTCGGACTGCTCAACCTACTCGGCCTCGCCTATCACGAGATGTTTAATACGGGAGTAATATTAAAAATAGTAGTGTTACTGCATCCCCAGTAATTCCTAAGCCCTGCTTCATGGCCTGCAGTATGTCCGTCACTAAGCCCGGTACTTAACTCTGGGTTACTCTGTTAATACAGACGTTTTGGTAGTGGGTAAAGTTATAATCTCTAGATCGCTCTACCCTTATCTCCTTCCTTCCTTTCTTTCTTTCTTTCTTTCTTTCTTTCTTAAGATACTCCTAATATTGAAGAGTTTGCCTTAGACTAATATTCCCATGACAATATCGGATCCACTCCCCGCCACTGGCTTCAAGCTGCTCGGTATGGCATGGCGGCCCGAAGTCACCCCAGACGACCAGGCTTTTACCGCCATGAAGGCCGCAATTACCAAACCCGCTGCCATCTGGTCCTCCACCTCGGTCTACGGCATGGTCCTAGAGTCACCAATGGCGGGACTCTGGCTCCCCGTCACTATTTCGAGAAAGACCCCGAGGACGCACCCAAGGTGACGCTCTTCATCCGGACCGCAATATTCCCTCTGAGGAGAAGCTGGGGCCATCCAAGGAACTCGTTGAGGAAGGCCAGAAGGTTTGTCCGAGGTAGGCGCTTCTACTATGCGTCGTGCGCACGCCGTATGCCCTTCTAGTGTTGTTGCGGACGAGTACTCCCTGTGGAACACCGTTATTCTTACTAATGGGGCGGTGGAGGCTTCGAAAGAGTTGGGTATTCCGATTCTCGAATATATTCCGTTGAGGTGTGGTTTCTTGACTGGTCAGGTTACCAAGCGGGAGGATATCGCGAAGAGTGATATTCGTCATATGTTCGGTCAGTTTGAGCCAGCGGTAAGTCTCGATTTTCTGACATGGAAAACAATACACTGGTGAATGTTAAGTTTTGCTGATGATGACGGGGGTAGGTTTTTCCCCAATGACCTTGAGCTGGTTGATAAGCTCGAAGTGTTCGCTAAGCGTCGAGTTGTCACCCCTCGCGCAGTTAGGTGTCTAGCATAGATTCGAGCACATCCAATACTGGCGGTTGGGGTACAATTGTTTCTATACCTGGTGTAATGGCTGCTCAGCGTGTTGAGGAGAATTGTAGGGTAGTAGGTTCATCGGCGGAGGAGGAGGAGCTGGATAGCATGTTACGGTCGTTTGATGTATCCGGAGAGAGACAGCGAATATACTTGGCTTGGTTTGTAGGAATACAAGTATATATCATTACGCTAAATTGATCTTACCATCAATCCGTGCAATTGCAGGTACTCTAAGGCTGATGTTTTCATGAAAACATCGAGTTTTGAAGTCCCTAGTAGAAATCTCATAATTTTAGCCATGATCCAGAAAAGGGCTCTACTCAGGGCCCTCACTGCCTCTATGCAATTGCACTCGCCAAGTAAAAGTAAGATAGGATGGTGAGCCCATACAATCATTGTCCATGATATAATACCAGCAGAATTGGACAACAGACAAGCTGCAGTGTAACCCCCTGTCGAGGAACCCTAAATGGAATTAACAGAGATTGCCTTTCTGGATGTGATAATCACTAGTAGAATACTGAGAGTGAACTGAGCATCTCTGGCTCGCTATGGTCTCATACTGCTTCGTTTGTATATTATTTGATTCAGGGCTATTGAAATCACGTGATGCTTTCGATTGGAGATGAACACTTCCTTTAGTACTCGAGGGTTAAAGCCTAGTTTCATCTATCACTCTATGCCGCTGGCTGCTTTAGTGAATTTGCCAATTCGATGACTGCCTTCATGCAAGATGAATCTTAACGTCACACAGCGAGGCTGTATCACCTAGAGGATGAGGTGAGACAAAACGCAGAGGTCCAAGGTGGAATGTGGAACGTGAGCTACAGATTGGACTGTGTGACATGCTAGCCAACCGCTCTGGTCAGGAACAGCATCCGGGATACGTCGAGGCAGATAGGAAAATTATCCAGAGGAGTTGTTTACAATGCTAATCTTTGGGGATAATAGGGCAACTGCTTCTATCCCGTATGTGCATATGACTATATACCCTGAAGTAATATGAAAGAACCGTAGATAAATGAACTACCTATATGTTGATCTAAAGAATGGAAATCCCACAGCATCGTATACGAGCACTGTCCACGTATGCCTTGCGATTCCACCAGCAGCGGACCAGCTCCTCGACAAAGATACGATCTGCTGCACTCCAGACGTCAAGGCCCATTTCGGTCATGTCTTCTGTGGTTATCTTGATTGGCTCGTCATCGCTACGTGGTGAGCTGCACACCTCCTCTTGAAGTAATGGAGACCTATCATTTTCTTGAGTAGATTGGCGGCCTATGGTGACAGGGGGTTCAAGGTCATCGCCCGGATCGTCTTCGTAAGGGATATGATCATCATCGTTAGGCTCCACTTCTTCGTTGGGCGCATTCTGACTGTCGTGTCGAGCGATGGCATCGGATAAGGTGATGAAGATCTGTGTAGTCATGCGACGGAAGTATGCCACAATGGCAATTTCAGGAGGCTCGTGAGAGGTATCTGCTGGTTGCAAGCTCCTACGGCCGACAGATCCAGAAGGCGGGCTAGTGGGATGTTCCACACTCGCTAAAAGCTGGGTATCTTGTTGGATCTGATGCTCTTCCTCCTCCTCTTCTGATAAACCATCACGCTTCTCACCAGCCGATGCCCACCAGATAAACGAGGTGTATGCTAGCCGGGTCCAAGAGATGGGCTCAACAATGGGGCTGGAGGAATATGTCGATGCAGCATCAGAATCATCCTCCTCGCCAGATTGGCCATCATCGCTCGAGGCAACTTGACGCAAGCCCTTGCGAAGCGTAGCATAACGGCGCGCATCCCGCTGGGTTGCCTTTAACTGGACCGCTTGAGGTGTATTGTGTTTCGCGGTTGGTGTCGGCAATATAGATATCTTTGGGAACACTTTCTCGGCCGCATCCTTAGAATAAGGGGGAGGTAACGTGACAAGGACATCGAAGAGCTCGGACTTCATGGTTAGCACACTATCTGTGCTACAGGCAATCCAAGAAGCATCTGGCTGAGCGTTGGCTGGGACACCTGCAAAAGAAGAAAGATACGGGATATCATGAATGCCAACATTGAATAGTGGCCGGGGACGCAGGCTAGGTATACCGGTCGGCGGGAGCAAAGGAACAAGCGAATTAGGTAAGGAAGCTAACAGAGACAAATCGTATACTATCATATATCAGCAGGGATGTGAAAAGACAGTGATAGAGGGCTCACCATAGTTACAAGGCATATGAACAGGTGCTTCGGCCATGAAAAGTATTTTCTTGCGGAGTAATGTTGCTCTATACAATGGGTATATGAGGGGCCCAAAACAATCAAGGAATTCGGGAAGGGATGAAGCTGGATGGAAAGGCGTCAGGGCCGGCCTGGGCGTTTCCAGCACAATAGCGTCGCTGAATGTGCGGCTTCTAAGTGAGTGGTTCGGTCGCTCTCCATGCGCCCTCAAGCGAAGGCTGAGCGGGGATTCCAGAGGAGAATCCGGAGGATGGCCGGTCAAGTCGCTGTCGCGGATCTCATAAGTTTCCCAGTACTTCAATAGCGGTTCTGTATGAGACATGTCTAGGGCGTAGATTCTGCAAATCAGGCAGGGTCAGAACAGACGTAAAACGCCGCAGGCGATATAGAGGGGGGTTACTTACTGCGCCAATTCCCTGAGTTTCGGGGCATGCCGCCAACTTTTTCCTAGCCTTCCAGAGCTCAAGGGTACCAGGACACCGACCGAAAACATCTTCGCATTTCGCTCAGACTCTTCTGCGGGCTGGTTGATGAAAGCGCTAATGCCAGCATATTGCTCATGCACGAAATATCTAGAACGACTATTAACTTGATAATAATTGCGAGCGGCGTGCTCAAACGTACACTAGGTCTTCTGAAACATTGTGTAGACCAGAGGGTAGTGATTTGTATTCGATGATTCCTTCAACCTCAGCTAGTCATTCGAGTGAGTTAGCCAGGTTCAAGCGGAGAGAACAGCGTGATCGCGAACTATATGTACCACTCACCTCCAGGGACCGTACGCTTCCAGGATACTACATAACTATATAGTTATCTGCGGTCAGTGCGATGTTGTTGGAATAATCATAAACAACTTACCCAGCCTTGATATCGAAGCGGATCACGAATAAGGCGGCAATGGGAGGCGGCGACTCTGCGACAGGCGTGCGGGGTACATCGACCCCTAGGGGTTTTCTTCTAAAAGGACCGGGTGCCATTGTAAAAACGGGCGGAAAAGAAAAGGCTTTCAGACTCCATCAGATGGCCCGAATGGTTGTAATCACGGGTGTGGTTGCATTGAAGAGGCTGGAGACCTTGGACCCGACCATCAGACGTTGACGATAACATACGGAGGGAGTTGCGGAGATCGAATGGAGCTGTCGCAGCCTTAGGCAGATATCTAGCCAGACATGGTTAGTGGCATGGCATACGAGCCCAATGGGAGATCTCGAGTCCTCTATAGTCGATATTACAACAAGGTCAATTTACTGAGTTGCTACATATATCATAAGTTATTACTCTGTGAAATACAATAGAAGGGAAAGGTGGGTGGCTATACTCAAGAGACTTTCCCCCCAAAGTCCTAATGGTTGTTTATTGCTGGTTAGATTTGAATCCGTTGTCTTGGCACATCAATATTGTTTTGAGCCGCCCCGTATCCCTCAATTATCTGTGCCTGCATAGTCGCAAAATACACAACACTCTTAAGTACAGCTATATCACTGAAAGAGGCTGACTGAAATTTAGTCTCTAGCTCACAATGATTTCAGAAAATCCATTGCATCCTTATTATCCCACTGATGCCTCAATCAATGGGTACGCTCCCAATGAATCCTCACTCCTCAAGCTCCTCTCTACTGCCAGCATTGGCACCACAACTTTACTGGGCGCGGTCTTCGTCCTTATAAGCACGCTTCGGCCAAAGCTGAGCAAAGCGGATCGAGTTGCGATCTTGTGGTTTTTTTTATGTAGGATTATTCTCATCATGTCCAGATTCTCGAATGCGAGTCACGCTAATATACTGTGAACATACAGCGGGGACCATGCATTGCATGTTTGAAGGGTATTTTATGTTAAATCACAATCGCATGGCTTCTGCTCAAGACTTCTTTGGGCAATTGTGGAAAGAGTACGCCTTATCCGATTCGAGATACATGACAGCGGACACGATGGTCCTGTGCATGGAGACTATCACCGTGGTACGTCTCCATCAAAATTCATACACTGTACTAGTACCTATATCTGTAAGGTGGTTGACTTGAGGTATTCAACAGCTCGCTTGGGGACCTTTATGTCTTTTGGTCGCATATTCAATTTTCACTCGGAGTTCCCTCCGCCATCCGCTGCAACTGACCGTCTGCCTAAGCCACCTCTACGGCGATTCGTTGTACTATGCGACCAGCTTGTACGATCACTACGTTCATGAGCGCCCGTACTGCCGACCGGAGCCTTTCTACTTCTGGGTGTACTATTTCTTTATGAACTTTATCTGGATCGTAGTCCCACTCTGTATGCTTAACCCGCTGTATACCCTGAACAATGGCTTACTTCGAATTTTAGATTATTTTGTGCAGAGCGTAAAGGCCATCCAAAATGCATTTGACCGTTTGGCGGCGACATCTACTGGCCGTAAGACACAGTGAAGTTCGATGAGGGGGGTCATATGGTATCACAATTTCCAAAGAGGTACAAAGCGAAGTGGGTTTTCAAATATGCCGGAGATATAATTATACAGCTTAGGTAGATTGCACAACTCCATAAGCGAACAATTGTTGAACATGCTTTGCAGGATTTTAACAAAATACAACCTTGCCTAGTACTGGGCGTAAAATGGCTGCAAAATAGGTAGTATATTGAACGCGTAACGTGTGGATCGCTAAGGGAAATGCTGTTCGATCAGTGATAAACGGCCA